AGCTTTGAATGCCACCTCCTAATGAAACAGGACGTTCTAAGAGAGCTTGCCCCCAAGCTACAGAACCCTTCCCAGTGGTGCCAGCAAAGAACCAAATAGACATCACATCATATTATGAGCGTCCTATAGAAGTCAAATATAGGGACCCCATAGAACATGGACAACAAATACCTTATGCACCTTACATTATGGGCTGACCTCCAAGTACTAGCCTGAACCGGATGTCACGGTATGTGACCTCCTAGCATAACAGGACGTTCTAAGAGGGCTTGCGCGCAAGCTGGACAGTGGTTTCCTAACCGTATTGGTGTACACACAGAATGTATATATATATATAAATATAGAGATGTATATAAATATACTCAACATGCAAACAGTACAAGCTCTACCAGCAGAACAATTGAGGTGCAGCATCGAGATGTCCTTGACAGCTGACGCGTGGGCGATCCAGCAACTGTCTTCGTCACAGCTTTTTGAATGCAAATCAACAACATGTTGAGTTCTTGTACCGGTTATATGTGTATATATAATATACATCATGTTTCGTTGGCCAAGAAAGGTGTAACACACGTTCCAAGTGTAAACTGCTGAGGCACAACAGATTGGTATGGATGGCCTGGATGCAGCGAGGTTACTGTAGCTTGCAGGAGATTGCTGAGTGGCTCTTCGATGGACTCTTTGGTTGATTGCAGTCTCTAACTTTTTGTTGCTCGTTATATATATATACTTGTAGTCTGGAACAGGGATCAACATGTTTGTGTGTATAACTATTTCAACACGCTCAAACACAGTGCAAATAAGGAAGAATAGACACGGCTGAAGACATGATCCAGCGACACCACAACTGCATGCAAGATGTGCTGGAGCTGCTAGACGTACCAGATGTCGACGGTGAGGAGACAGAAGAGATGCAGCACATGCGCGTACAGGAGCTAGTTCCTTATCAGCATCAGAAAAGTGTTTCCCTCCCTTTCCATTCCTTCCCGGAGATTTCCCGGAGATGTGTTTGTTTTGCTTTGGATTTGTATCTCTCTCTTTTCTGTATATATATATATATACCATTGCACTTCAGGAAGACGAGCAATTCCATGGGTGGAGCATACAAGATGGTGACAACATTCTCACCCGGCGTGCTCTTCCTCCATGGATGACCCAACCGCTTGAGATGAGAGTATGCCAGTTTGTCACAGATTATGGAAGGTGGCAAGATCGGATTGCCAAACGCACGGACCAGGGCAAGACATTAACCAAGAGACAAGAACTTGCATATGCGACATGGAAATCAAATTCTGTTCACAAGCTGATCTTTTGCAAGTCCAGGAAGACATTGATCACCGATGCCAAGGATGTCTCAGCAACCTGCATTGGCATCCGACTTCACTTGAGTGAAGAACCAGAAAAACTGCAGCTCTCCACTGGCGATGGATCATTCCACAGGTTGGTTTTGCTGCGCGGACCAAAGAATACAACTTCAAGCTCAAGTTTGCCTGCAGCATTGGATGCACCCGTAGCAGCTGATATGATTCCGGATGATGATCCAGAAGAAGCAGAAGCCGAGAGTGAGGAGGAGAAAGTTCTGGATGGTGAGGTGCCGTTGGAAGATGCGGTGGGCAATGATGACATGGACAATGGTGATGGAGATGAGTCCTGCATCCTTGCTGACTCCGATGATGATTTGGACTTGTTTGGCATTGAGTTGGATGGTCATTCTTGCCAGATGCCCAAGGTGAAGAACTTTCATAACCGTCAGGCTTGGAGAAAGCTGGACGAGCTGGGGCTGGCAAGCATACCAACCCACGTCAACGGGTGTTCAATATCGTTCCACTCAACCACTTCTCAATGGCAAGGGTACTATCCGAACGTGCACACAGGATTGTGCTGCACCTTTGGAGGAAAGTCAAAACGCAGTGACCTGGGTCTACTTAAGACGTGCTTCACACCTTTGTTTTTGCTTAAATATCGTATGTGTATATATATATATATCATTGTTTGAGGTGTAGTATATACACATCTGTTCTTGAATGATTCTTTGAGACCTTCCAAGGCGAAGAAGAGGCATGCATCCGAGTGATTAGGCAGATCCTGGTTTCACACTGTGAAAAATACCCCAAAGACCATATGTGGAAACTCCAGCTCCAAAATGTTCAGAAAGCTGAGGCTACGAAGAGCTTCTAATCCATTGGCATCCGGGTTGATGTTCTAAGTGTTGGTAGACACTAAGGTCACAAAAGGTCACATGTTATACTTAGTGCTTGATTTGGTGTGTTGGTTCCTTTCTGATGTTGATTCCGGATGCACTGACAAATCTGGTAGCAGGCAAACTGCAAGAACACAACGAATCCATTCCAATGTACAGTTGCTGCATTTGCTACAAAGTGAGTTTGGTGTGGCAGCCTGTGTGATCAGTATGATAATGATTCAGCCGCATTTGCAGTGAAACTATGTTTTTTCCTTTCATGCTGCTGCCTGAACATCAGATGCGTATAGCGTGGCTTAGCAGTTGTGTGTTCGTTGCAAAGCTCACACAGCTCTTTAATATACATACACATATATAAATAAATTGATATATAAAAAAATCTATATACAACCCTAAGAATGGTGGCCTCATAGCCCTTCCTCAAGTCTGTGTGAGCAACGACCACTTTTCACATTCCAACTTCACTTGGCATCTGGGTTGACGTTCTAAGTGGTATACACACCAGCTGTTTGATAGACACCAAAGGTCAACTGTTAGACTTAGTATTCCATATCAGATTTCATGTGTTTGTTCCTTGTTGCTGTTGATTACAGATGCATTGACAAATCTGTTTTCAGGCACACTGCAGGAACCCAATGACATCATATATGTCTTTCAAGGTCCTGCATGTGCTAAAGACAGAGTCTGGCCTGGCAGCCTGCGTCATGAGTATCAGTATGAACAAGTCGTATGCAGTATGTGACCTCCTGACACAACATAACAGAACGTTCTAAGAGAGCTTGCCCACAAGCTAGGACCAGGACCCCATAGA